GGTGGCGAAGCACGTCCAGGTCGTCTTTATTGACCTGTTTTTGAAAGTCGTAGTGGCTGGGTGCACTCAGTTTTCTGCCTAGGAGTACAAGCCGCATATTAGAGGTGTGCAGGTGACGCCTAGAGCTTAGACGTCGTCTAGCGACCTGTTAGACCTAATGGGCAGGCAGCTTTAATGTGGGAATTTAATATTCGTTAGAAAATGGGAGCTTCAAGGGCGAGATGGCGGTTCTACGTCCTATTATTCCTTGCTTGGCTTTCCAGCAGCGGAAGGCCCGCCGTCGTTGCCAGTGGACACACCGTTAACGGCGCATCGGCAGGTAGAGATAATCTTTGATAAACGCATTCTAAGAGCACCGCGCTGAATGTGGCATGGCTTTACCACCGCCCACAGCAACTGCTGAATGTCCATTGATCATAACGTAATGTAGGTCTGACGAGCAGCGGTGCAAAGCAGCAGAATCTCCTGGCATCGGACAGTCAAGGAAATGAGCTCATGAGTGGTTACGAGTTGCGCCCGCGGCTTGAGCCATTGGCCGAGCTTTCCTTCGTTGCCGAAGCGCTCGCGGTCACAGCCAGTCATCTCGCGAATGCCGGAGGTGCGCTTTGCGCAGGGATGGGATGGGGCTTCGCTGACTGCAAGGTCAGATATGCACTTTATGTATTTCCGCGACGCAGGAGACGGACTGCGAAAGCTGAGCGCTATGTCCAACGTACGGTCCGTGCGTTTCGAAATTTGTCCGTATAGTAAATAGGAAATTCTAGCCCTTAGGGCTTTGTAGAAACACCTTTACAACTCCCATGTAAAATGTCAATTTGTTATTAATGGAGCTCGCTGTCTAAAGTAAGGGGAGCAGCAGCAGGTCGCGGGTGGCAAAACTTTCACATCCGAAGAAAGAAAAAAACAGATCGGATAAGGTTTCAACATGTAGTCAAATATATGGAATACCTATTCTGAATAGTTTTATGAATGTCGTCTGCAAACAAGTTATTGCATAATCACTGCGGCATATCCTTCATCACTGCGCAACGCAGACAAACTTGATTTGAAAACATTGTATTATATATTTTAGGTTTTGGCCTGTATATACATGGTCGATGTGCACTTAGAACGTTTTCTGAAACTTGACACATGTAAAATGCCGTACTGTAATGATGCACTAGTACGGTCATTTGCTCTTTGTCTGTAGAAAGCATCAGGCGACTCAGAGCAAATTAGCCTGGAGAGGCCCCGCTCCCAAACCTCTCTCCAGGATTGAGGTGCCATAGCTGTAAATACTGCTCGGGTTGAGCCTACTCTGTGAATCCCCAAGAGAAACACTCAACATTATATCGTAATAACGTGGTATACGGAAGGTCAATATTTCAAGCGGCGGTTCAGTTACAGTGGAAGATGTGAATTCACAATAGTTTGTGCATTCACATGAAATGCCATTTCGGATGCAACAACATATAAGATGTAAGTTTTGAAACTATGCGTAAGAAGAAAACAGCTTGTTTTTGGTCGGCCGACCCAAAACCGCGGTTTCCAGTGGTGGCCCAGGGTGGCCACGTCAATAAAAATTTTGATCCCCAGTAGGCCGCACCCTCCTGTAATGGATTGGACCCGTCCATATCTAAATCCTAAAAAGACGCATGACAGGAGCATTGAGAATAGACAGTATTAGTAGAATGATTATTTTTGTAGTATGTAGAAGATGAAAATACAAAGGTAGACACCTGTAGCTATACGGGCTGCCTGTAGGCTCCCACACAGAGGATGAGAAAGACTAGGGGGGCGGCTTTTCAAAGCCGAAAAGGGGCTCGGTCCCGGTGCAGCCACTTGACCCCGTTTAATTCGCAGGGCAGTCCGTACGGCATAGGAGTGCAAGCACAAGAACGCCGCCATGTTTGGAGTACACACTTGTTATTGTAATTCTCAAACAATAAAGGTCGGCAGACTTGCTATGGCGGCGTAGACCTGTCTGGATCGTCGCAAGCGCGCAGCCGCCATAGCATAATCATTATTGACGGAACAGTTAGCCTTCTTGTGATGCGGCAATCCGTAGAATGACATACACACAAAGCGCCTTGAACTGTCAGCCAGCAGACCGAATCACTGGCCGTCTGGCTGGCAGTTCAAGGCGCGCAAAAGTGCCCGTGCTACATGGACCAATTGTTGTCCGCTCCCAGCCAGAACGCATTCGGGGATCGTTCCAATTGCAGTCGGAATGCAGCGGCAAAGCTGATGGTGTGTCGCAAAGGCACACTTCGTTTGAACTTGGATTGAATGAATGAAGAAGAGAATAAGAAGGACAACAATCAAACAGGCACGACATGCTAGGAGGGAGGTGCTTAGAACGTTGCCATGGGTCAACAACAGCCCCGCCCTCCTCCGCGCCCTCTGCTGGGGGGCCGGCCGCGGCCGCGGCGGATCGGCTGGTCAGGGGCCGCCGCCGCCGGCGGGGACGCGGGCGGCAAGGCGGCCGGCGGATGGGGGCTGCCGCCATGGCCCGCTGTGGGGGCTGGCACCTCCACCTGCACAACGGCCCGACCTGGGCGGCCCCGCCCTCCTCCGTCAAACTCGGAGCCATGGAAAGCTATCTTTGTCGCGCTCCGATTTATCTGGAATTTCTCCTTTGGCATTTCAATATAGAATGGATATAGCATTCAAACGCTATTTTATGCGGGGCGAGATATGTAAGCCACTGACTGACTGACTGACTGACTGACTGACTGACTGACAGCAGTGAACCCGGGGGCCTCGGCCCCCCGAATGGCGCTTCGCGCCCGGGGCCTCGCCCAAAAAACACGGGCAGGCTTCGATGCAGAACACGCAAAAAACAGCGTTTTGGCCCTTCAAGATGCGAATTGACCACAAATATGTATGGTGTGCTTCTGAGTATCCTGCAGCGTAACTTGGACTGTAACCTGGTGTAGCTCACCGGGTGTAGCTCACCGGGTGTAGCTCACCGGGTGTAGCTCACCGGGTGTAGCTCACCGGGTGTAGCTCACCGGGTGTAGCTCACCGGGTGTAGCTCACCGGGTGTAGCTCACCGGGTGTAGCTCACCGGGTGTAGCTCACCGGGTGTAGCTCACCGGGTGTAGCTCACCGGGTGTAGCTCACCGGGTGTAGCTCACCGGGTGTAGCTCACCGGGTGTAGCTCACCGGGTGTAGCTCACCGGGTGTAGCTCACCGGGTGTAGCTCACCGGGTGTAGCTCACCGGGTGGGACGACTGGCTTTGTGGAAGCGTGGAATTTAGAGTCCTCGCTGAGGCAGGAAGAAGTCCAACCCAGTGACAAGCACTAGCGTATATAGACTGGTACGAAACAATCTGAGACGGCGGCAGCAGAATCTTGGACTCCGAACACCTAGTAGTCGTGATACTTCAGTGTCTGGCCAGAACACCTCGCCCGGGTAGCTTATATCTCGGCCTACATGCCGGAGATTCCCTACTACGGTTCTGCCGTACTGTCGGTGGGGCCCGGGGCCCCAGCCCGTTAGGTTCGCTACGGGCAACCGCCATCTTCGTGACATGCTATCGTAGTACGTGACATGTACGAAACTCGAGTCGAATCGTTAACGAAATTAACAGTTATTGTTAACAGTAATCGTTGAAATATGCTAAGGGAAATGTTGTGTACTACACTAAGACTGCATGCATGCACATGTATTATTACTTGCAAGACTTAATTGAGTCAGACCAAACATGTGCAAGGTAATGGCACGGTTACTTCAGTCCAACGCCTGTTGTATCAGGACTACAGGAAAAACATGGGTGGATGACAGATCCCGTGATATGCCCAGAATACATCATCTATCCCCTCCAGTTGAGGGCATCCTAGTCTAAGACCATTTCCAGGGTCCCTCCTCAAGATCCTAGCTAGGTGCAATTTTCCATCAACTACTAGCATGCATGTCCGAAGATCCAGATTGATTGTTACTATGGCCCTTACACATAACTATATCCATATATCCGAACGGCCAGGGTAACCATGTCCACTTACACGTGTACATGTTGCACACTTTTATGTAAATGGCCAAGGACACACAAGTGCAAGACATCAGTTATCTCACCAGTAGACAGCTCACATTGGGCTTCCCTGAAACGGGCAAGCAAATGCATAAACATATGTTGCCACAATAACAACCTCATGCCATCACTACTTAGGTACGCTGGACTCAGTAAGCATCGAGTGCACCTTATCCAGCAGAGCGCAGCTCATCAGTTGCTCATCAGCCTTGCCATTGCTTGGACCTAATTGGCTGAATGACAGATTTGCTTGTGTAATCATCTGGGCTGGTAATAAAGTTCCCTTATTGAATTTTATTGAATATTGTCCCTTATTGAATTGTGGCAAGCAATGGCCCACACATACACATTCAAGTACTAGCTGCAACAGATGCTTACAATACAAACACGAGGCGGTTTGACTTAAGAAAGTTCTTAAGTCACTCTTAGCCCAGCCAAATGAATAGAATTGGATAACCATTAGAATGTTCTTTGACTGTCCTAAGACTGATCTACGACTGTTCGTATGACCTCTATTTAACTTAAAACCACTCTGTAATTCTGTTTAATCGGGACCCGATCAGTGCCATAGGGATAGCCACTGTATTTCTTGCACATGTAGAAGTATATTTAATAATAAGCCACAGGTAGCAAGTAGCAGAATGGACTGACTCGTCGAGGACCCAGCTAGCAGTTCATTATAATGAATGTCCTTAAGCTTGCCTCCCCACCCTTTGCTTCTTGCTGTGCACCACCCTTACTTAACTTCAGGTTCGATGGGACTGCTCTTGCCATACCTGAGGCCTGATGTGCTATTGCACTACACTCTGCTGCCAGAGCGCTTCACATCACCAGCAGTTCAGGAGCTGCAGGAACTGTCATCAATGCTTCACTCCATAACAGGCGATGGTACAGGCCACTTGGTAGGTCCAACCGCCCTCTCAACTTGGTCCAGAACAATTGGTAAAACAGCCAGAATGGCACATCTAACTGGGCAAATTACAGGCATGCACCAACACACCAAATCCCAGGGAGTGCTTCCCCAACACTATCCTGGCTTACCCCCTATTTGCATAACCCCGGTCTTGGTCTTCTTTTCCGGATCCAGAGGGCACTCCACCACAAGGTGCCTATCCTCCCGCAATGAAGGTACTGGCCATTCTTCCGGCAGTATTCATACTCCCCATAGGTACAGCAAAACGTATTCATCCACTACGCCAGATTTTCATTCTGGCCGTGTTTTTCAGCACCATCACACTTGTTCCCATGGCAGCTGCCTGCAGCCAAAACCCATCCCTACACTTGTCACCCCTACCGGTAGGGGTGCAGGAGTAACCTGGTAACCCCGACTGGTAACCCTGACTGAGCTGCGCTGTATTGTACAAGCAATAAGCGCTGGCAAGCAGTAAAGCAAGTCGCGATGTTGAGTGGCACGGGACGACAATAGTTCTTACTGATTGTAACACCAGGCAAAGAGTACTCAGGGAGATGCCAAGGGAGCTGAACCCTTCTTACATTCCTCCCCCCCTCCAGCGAACAACCTCGGGCGCCCCCGGGCATATCCCGTAGGATTTAGGTTGTTTGAGATCCCGTAGGATTGTGATTTAATTTAATATTGTGACATTTCGTCAGTCCCCGTCCGAGAAGGAGGACTTTCTTTTTACTCAGCTGGTAGACTTTTCACCTCACCTGAGCATCCACCTCTGGGGTAAGAGTATGCTGCATCGTGCCTGATGTGGGATATGTCCACAACCGGATTCAATCCGGGGAGTTCCCATCTCCTAGCAGTTCGCAACAATGTAACACCAGGCAAAGAGTACTCAGGGATTAGCCAAGGGAGCTGAATCCTTAGCCTCAGGGAGATGCCAAGGGAGCTCAAACCCTATGCCCTAAGTCCTTCTCGGATGGGGGCTGACGAAATGTCACAATATTAAATCAAATCACAATCTTACGGGATCTCAAACAACCTAAATTCTACGGGATGCCTGGGGGCGCCCGAGGTTGTTCGCTCGGGGGTGAAAGGAACATAAGAAACGTTCAGCTCCCTTGGCATCTCCCTGAGTACTCTTTGCCTGGTGTAACAAAAAGCCAAACCACCAAGATATAAATTCTGTCCGCATTTAAAAATCACACCTAGGATAAAGGAGCCTTATGCCTCCTACCCTAAATCTGCACGCCAACACGTGCCGTAAGCACAACCACTTCAAGCTACCTTAACTATCCACAACTGTCACGCAACGGGATCGTTCGAAAAAGACCCAACAGTTTCAGGTGGTTGACCGTTAGACCTTGCGACGGAAATGTTGCAGCGGATATTATGCCGTGACAATGTTGCCTGTGTAGTGGAAAGGCACATCATGGAGTACCCGTGAGAATGGAGAACACGTGCCACGACAGGCCCATTCACCCTCGCTGGGTTGCCTAGGAAAACCTAAGCCATTCGATTGTTCCAATTGGTACCGATCGGTGGATTCAGATCCCGTGATACGCCCACGGCAAAACACATTTTATAATATTAGGGTGCAATCTGAAGACAATCACAGAAGACCATGTTCAGCATGTCTTGGTGCAGTAGGGTCAGGGGCCCACCCCAGCCCCCACACACAGCAGGCAGGCAGGTCTTATGTGCCATTAGGCAATAATGCAGGATGTTCTGACTGTCAACGTTGTCCCCTCAGCGCACTGGTACCACTCTGCAACATAATGTCCGCGTGTGCACCCACAATCCTCAACAATCCACACAATCCTCAACCGCTTCCAACATAGCAATATCTGCAATACTCCCAAGGCATGGGCCCCAGGCCCCAGGGTGTAAGTATGCCATCTCAGCTCTCAACCACTCAATCCAGGTATGCCGCCATTAATACACTGATGGTGGCTCTACTGTCTCTTCCCCAACCCACACACCCACCAGTGGTGTCCATGCTGCGTATCTATACCCAACTGCACAGATGTATCAACTCATCAACCAACACCTCCATCACCGACAACCACCGGTGTATACCAAGTCGTTAATAGACCATGTTACACCTCACTTCTTCTCCTTGCTAGTGCCCTTCCCCTTAAGCCACCGCCCTGTTCCTGGGCACAGGCCGCGGCACCTGCTGCTGCTTGCATGCCTGCTTGGCCGAATTGTGAATGAATGGCAAAGTAAGGGATGCTCTTCATTGATACTGTGATTGCTATGACGAGCATTGGATATTAAAACTGTTTGTGAACTTGGTCCAAGTTGGAAATTATACCCTGTACAGCAGTACTGCTAGTACAGCAGTACTGTACACTAGTGTACAGTAAATGAAAACTTAAGGCGCACTAATGGGCAATCTAGTAGGAAACCTTTCATCTGTCGATGTGACCAACTCTTAAGTCGGCTAGTAATGAGGTGTAAACTATCCGGCCATTATCCATGTTTGGAAGGTTATGGTGGGGTTGTACTGCACAACCCCTACCCCTTCCCTTGGTCAAGCTACCCCGCCCTAATCCCCAAAAAAGGGAGGGTAAGTAAGCCACCAGGGATTATTGCTCAGCAATGGCTCTGAGTCCAGTTATGAGGCCAGCAGTGGCTGTTTTGGGCTCATGGAAGTCCTTTTTGAGTCCGAATCCCTCCGCGGATGAATTAGTGGATATATTTCTATTGCTGTTAAACACCGACTGCCTTCCTTGCCACCTTACAAGGGATGGCTGGACATGCTTGTTCCTATGGCTGTTATGATCTGCAGCTGCTGGTGATGGGTGCCTGCTGTGGACCACCAAAGCACAGCATCCCATACACGCTGCATGTAGAGATGCATTGATTGATGTCTTCTCCGTGTGATAATCTTCTCCTTAATGTGTATTCACAGGCCTGCCAAAAGGCGCTGCTCCAGGGAGTGGAGGCAGCCTCAAGCTGGGCCCTGGACAGCATCATCCAGCAGCAGCTGCAAGACCTGCCTGCAGACCACCCTCCTATAACAGTTTTCTTGCCTGATATGTCCAATACATCAATTAAGGAGCTCATGGCCACAATAGGTGTAGCCATATCTCGCCAGCGGTACAAACTCAATGATAAGGCGATGATGGAGATTCAGAATTGTGGCCTTACCACCAGCGACTTGACAATGCTAATGGTCCCGATTTTACAGGCAATAATGAAACTTCAAGCAGATGTGCAGCTCTTACGGAAAGTTGAGACGCACATAATTGAACAAAAAACAGAGGTAATTACTAAGCGGAGAACGCTATT